CTAGCTTCAGTGCATTGAAGCAAAAACTGCAAGCTATAGCTTCCCCCAAATGGACAATTGGCGGTGCCGCACTCTGTTCTTTTATAAATCCGCACCCCTTGCTCTAGCTCTTCAAGTTCACTGAATTTGTGGATGCCTGCGTGGCCGTCTTTGTGCGCACTGCAACGGGTGCTGCAGAGTTTGTCAATCTGTCCGTTGCCCAAATTGGTGCTCTTCAATTTAAAAGTGGTAATTTTACAGTTTTTTTGGTAGCGTAAAGTGTGTTAATGAGCAGTGTCTAATACCACACTATTGTCTTTGAATGTTGAGTATTTTCTTCTTTCCTCGGCTTTCATCACTTTATCACACTCGACGAAATGGAGAGCAAAAAAAACTTTACTTTAGCAAACTAACGAAATTCTCATATTTTGAATGACTAGAGTTTTTCCGTTTATGACTTCAATTATATGTTGAATTACTCTTTTTCAATGTTTTGTTTCAATGTTTCCTATGTGCATAGGCCCACTTGGAAGAGGATGAGTATTTACCAAAGGAGGAGGAAGAGTTACCGAATGAGGAGTTACTAGAGGAGGAGGATGAGTTACCGAAGGAGGAGGAGGAGTTGTTACCAGAGGAGGAAGAGTAGTTACCAAAGGAGGAGGGGAAGTTACTGAAGGAAGATTTACCATAGGAGGAGGATGAGTTACCTAAGGAGGAGGAGGAGGTGTTACCAGAGGAGGAAGAGTAGTTACCAGAGGAGGAGGGGAAGTTTCCGAAGGAAGAGTTACCGAAGGAGGAGTTACCAGAGGAGGAGTTACCGAAGGTGGAGTTACCAGAGGAGGAGGAGCTGAAGGTACTAGTGGAGATACCAAGGCCGGAGCATGAGAGGCAGTGGTTTTTTTTAATATTACTTTAACTCTCCTTCGGTTTTGCTGGAGATGGCATGAATGAATGAAGTGAATTTCCTTTTTCTCCTTTTTCTCATTTTCTCTGTTTACTGCAAGTTTCCTTTTTCGGTCTAAGGTCCTAATATTTGACTTATATTTAAGCTTTCCTCCCTTGTGGATTTTCTTGAGAAGCATTCTGCCTCTACCAGGGGCAGAGTGCATGATGCTGCTAGCTTCAGTGCATTGAAGCAAAAACTGCAAAATATAGCTTCCCCCAAATGGACAATTGGCGGTGCCGCACTCTGTTCTTTTATAAATCCGCACCCCTTGCTCTGGCTCTTCAAGTTCACTGAATTTGTGGATGCCTGCGTGGCCGTCTTTGTGCGCACTACAATGGGTGCTGCAGTGTTTGTCAATCTGTCCGTTGCCCAAATTGGTGCTCTTCAATTTTCAAGTGGTAGTTTTACAGTTTGTTTTGGTAGCGTAATGTGTGTTAATGAGCAGTGTCAAATACCACACTATTGTCTTTACAGTTTGAGTATTTTCTTCTTTCCTCGGCTTTCGTCACTTAATCACACTCGACGAAACGGAGAGCAAAAGAAACTTAACTTTAGCAAAGTAACGAAATTCTGATATTTTGAATGACTAGAGTTTTTCCGTTTATGACTTCAATTATTTGTTGAATTACTCTTTTTCAATATTTTTTTTCAATGTTTCCGGTGTGCATGGGCCCACTTGGAAGAGTATGAGTAGTTACCAAAGGAGGAGGAAGAGTTACCGAATGAGGAGTTACTAGAGGAGGAGGATGAGTTTTTTCTCATTTTCTCCTTTTCTCTGTTCGCTGCAAGTTTCCTTTTCAGATCTAAGGTCCTAATATTTGACTTGTGTTTAAGCTTGCCTCCCTTGTGGATCTGCTTGAGAAGCACTCTGCCTCTGCTAGGGGCAGAGTGCATGATGCTGCTAGCTTCAGTGCATTGAAGCTAAAATTGCAAGCTATGGCTTCCCACAATGGACAATTGGCGATGTTACCAGAGGAGGAAGAGTAGTTACCAAAGGAGGAGGGGAAGTTACCGAAGGAGGATTTACCATAGGAGGAGGATGAGTTACCTAAGGAGGAGGAGGAGGTGTTACCAGAGGAGGAAGAGTAGTTACCAGAGGAGGAGGAGAAGTTACCGAATGAGGAGTTATTGGAGGAGAAGTTACCGAAGGAGGAGTTATCATAGGAGGAGGAGTTGTTACCAGAGGAGGAGGTGGAGTTTTTTTTATAATTTCGCACCCCTTGCCCAGGCTCTTTGAGTTCACTGAATTTGTGGATGCATGTGTGGCTGTCTTCGCACACACTGCAATGGGTGCTGCAGAGTTTGTCAATCTGTCTGGTGCCCAAATTGGTGCTCTTCAATTTTCAGGTGGTAATTTTACAGTTTATTTTGGCAACGGAAGGAGGAGTTATCATAGGAGGAGGAGTTGTTACCAGAGGAGGAGGTGGAGTTGTTACCAGAGGAGGAGGAGGAGTAGTTACTAGAAGAGGAGGAGGAGTTACCATCGAAGATCCCAGAGGAGAAGCCTGAGAGGTGGTTGTTTTTAGGTTTGCCTCCTTGTAAAACAGGCCCTAGGCTTTAAAAGCTTACATAGGGTGGGTGAAGTAGGCTATATGGTAATAACCTATCTTTTTAAAATTTAAGCCCAACTACGAATTAATAAGCGGAAACATAAACACATGCACTGCTAATTATTTTGTCAAGCATTATGTCTCTTTTCAAAGACGACAAAATTCAAGCACGCCAAGCGACATGCCATGCCAAGCAAGAAATCATTATTTCACACATAGCCACGCTACAAGCTTAAGTGGGCCCAAGCCACGCAAATGCCCGGGGGTACAACTAATGACAACATGAATATAAACATACATAAAGATTTGTTAACCCAAAAACCCAACAAGGGTGAAAACTGGGGGACCAAGCCAGTAAGAGAATCCACTATCAATGAGAAGTACAAGATACAAAGGGAGTTGAGCTCCATCTACACTCAGTAGGCAGCTAACTATCTAACCTTCTAGCAAAGCACAATATCAGCTCATCTACACACAATAGGCAGCTAACTATCTAACCTTCCAGAAAAGCACAATCTTTACTTCTCAACAGCAACCTCTCTTCCAGCTTTGCATGAGCATTCAACTCCAATTGCAACAGACAAATCCTCATGGTTTGCAACAGCACCAAGCTCCAAGTTGCAGAAGGTATAATGATATGAAGTGAGTTGTGGTTTCAGATTTTTCATCTTTCTTAATCACAAAGAATGATTAAGCTAGACAAATGAAACCAAGTGTTGTGATGATTAAACTAGAAGTAATGAACTTGAAGCATATAGTTTAAGTCAATCATAACAACAATGAAACAAAAGACTCATACTTGGAGGAATTTTATGTGTATGCAATCATACTCATACTCTCAAGTAATTAACAATGGCTGAAACAATAAAATAGTTTTTGAATGCTCAAGTAATTAACATAGAACCGGGTCTGCATCAAAGATGCAGATTTTCTGTCTTTACATGTCTAGCATGAATGGTTCTTCTTCAGAGAACTAATAAAAATGAAGCAAGTTCAAATGAACTTCTCAACCTCTTCCTTAGGTCTGGCTTAGTATATATAGAGACTTGATTCGAATGAAGAGGGGATATTTTGAACCACATATAATATAAAGAATGTTGTTTGGTGGCTAAAATATCTGAAAGGGCAAGACAGCAACAAACTCTTGATTCGAATGAAGAGAGTATTTTAAAGATGAAAACAAGTTCCAAATAGGAATACCAACAGTCAATCAAGATGCTCTGATCAAGTAGAAGAAATAATAAAGTATATGCAATCTGCATATACATTCATGAAGAGGATAACATGCTATTGGATTGAAACAGAATAAAGCAAAACACGTTTTTAAAGCATGTATCAATCCAGGTGTATCAATCCATGTGTATGAATGCAAAATGAAAGATGGATTAAAACAGACTGGGAAGGATTGATACAGAATGAAACAGAAAACGAATTTTAAGGCTTTTATCAATCCTGTGTATTAATCCCTGTGAATGTATGCAATGATTTTTGAATTGCAAAGATGACACTTTTTAATCTAGCATGTGCATTCAAACATACTTAAACCAATACATATACCTCGGCAAAATACACTAGTTTTGTCATAAGAGAAGAGCCAAAATATAATCCTTACACTCCCTTGAAGATATTCTTGACCAGCATTCTGCCTCTGCCCGGGGCAGAGTGCATGATAGTGATAGCTTCACTGCCTCAAAGCTGAAATTGGAAGCAATGGCTTTCCCCAAAATGACCATTGGGAATTCTGCCCTCATGTTTTTTCTAAATCCTTATTCTTGCCTGGACTCTATGATTTCACGGATTTTCTGGATGCCTGCATAGCTGTCTATGCACACTGTGGAATAGGTGTCTGTCAAAATATTCTTTGTTGGCCCATTGATGTGGAAGTTATCGGCCCAATATCGCACGAAGGGGCCATTTGGATCCAATAATATGAAAACGGGTTGATAAAAGGCGCCGGAGGAGGAGGAGGAGGAAGAGCCAGAGGAGAAGGAGCCGGAGTGGAAGGAGCCAGAGAAGGAGCCGGAGTAAGAGGAGTTAGAGGAGGAGCCGAAGGTACTAGCGGAGATACCAGGGCTGGAGCATGATAGACAATAGTTTTTTTTAAATATTATTTTAACTCTCCTTCGGTTTTGCTGGAGAGGACATGAATGAATGAAGTGAATTTCCCTTTTCTCATTTTCTCATTTTCTCTGTTTGCTGCAAGTTTCCTTTTCAGTTCTAAGGTCCTAATATTTGACTTGTGTTTAAGCTTGCCTCCCTTGTGGATCTACTTGAGAAGCACTCTGCCTCTGCTAGGGGCAGAGTGCATGATGCTGCTAGCTTCAGTGCATTGAAGCTAAAACTGCAAGCTATGGCTTCCCCTTAGAAAACCCTGTGTTAATTAGAATGCCCAAAATACTTTGTTAAAAATGCAATAGGCAAACTGCTTCCAGCAGCTTGACAAAAACCTGTCAAACGATAGAAGTAACGAGCTAAAGACCCAACACCGTACATACGAGCCCAGCCCAGCAACTTGTAGAAAAGTTGTCATCATGCTCCACCCTTGTTAGGACTCCAAGATGGTCAAATAGGAAGCCATGGTAGGAACCAACAGAAATCCGTGCGTGAAAGACAAATACCCATCGAACAAAGAACTCCCTCTATCTCTCTTTTCCTCTGCAAGCTCCATATTGAAAAACCCATAAGGACAGCAGGTGGCGCCTCACCCTTGTGGGGGAGGTCCAGCTACGTCAAACCTTTGGAACCATAAAGGGTTCCTTACCCATGCGCCTTGGATGGGAGAAATTCACCAAAGAAGATATAGTGGAAAGAAACAAGGAAAAAGGGGAAAAGTTAAGACGAAATTAGGGTTCTTTGTGGCTATAAAAGAGGGCCTTAGCTACCCAGAAAACCAACCCATTCTTCAGAGAGCAAGCTTCCTCTCTCACCTGCGAACCCAGTTTTAATTTCTCTCATCTTCCCATTAGGAAGAAATCCTCCTAATTTTCCTCTGCCCCAGTCTTAATTTCTGTTCTCTGTAAGAAACTCATGCTTTTCTCTCTCTCAAATTGCTAAACTTGTGAAAGCTTAGCTCCCATGCCACAAGCTCCTCATGCCAAGCCATTCCATTGCTAATTTGTCACGTTTATTTGGTTGATTGGTGAAAGAATCCAAGGTGTTTTCTAAGATTGTCACTACTCCTTTCAAAACTCTCTTGGAGCCTGGTCTTTGAACTCAGAAACAGGGGCAACCTCCTCCACTCATCGTTTACAGCAGCCCAAGCCCATTCGTCTGGCTGCTGGAAGAAAAAGACCCCAACACTCAGCTTTCCTCACTTTATCACACTCAACTTAACTTTAGCAAACTAACGAAATTCTCATATTTTGAATGACTAGAACTTTTCTGTTTATGACTTCAATTATATGTTGATTTCATATTTTTCAATGTTTTTTTTTCAATGTTTCTTGTATGCATGGGCCCACTTGGAAGAGGATGAGTAGTTACCAGAGGAGGAGGAAGATTTACCGAATGAGGAGTTACTAGTAGAGGAGTTACCGAAGGAGGAGTTATCAGAGAAGAAGAAGAAGGAGTTACCGAATTAGGAGTTACCAGAGGAGGAGGATGAGTTACCGAAGGAGGATGAGGAGTTGTTAAAACAGGAGGAAGAGTAGTTACCAGAGGAGGAGGAGAAGTTACGAAAGGAGTAGTTACCAGAGGAGGAGGAGGAGGAGTTACTGGAGGAGGAATTACCAAATGAGGAGTTACCAGTGGAGATCACATCGGAGAAGCATAAGAGGTGGTTGTTTTTAGGTTTGCCTCCCTTGAAGATATTCTTGACCAGCACTCTAGCTCTACCCAGGGCAGAGTGCATGATAGTGATAGCTTTACTGCCTCAAAGCCGAAATTGGAAGCAATGGGTTTCCCCAAAATGAACATTGGGAATTCTGCCCTCATGTTTTTTTTTAAAAATCCTTGTCCTTTGCCTGGACTCTACGAGTTCACGGATTTTTTGGACGCTTGCATAGCCGTCTATGCACACTGTGGAATCGGTGACCTAGTTTTAATTTCTCTCATCTTCCCATTAGGAAGAAATCCTCCTAATTTTCCTCTGCCCCAGTCTTAATTTCTGTCCTCTGTAAGAAACTCATGCTTTTCTCTCTCTCAAATTGCTAAACTTGTGAAAGCTTAGCTCCCATGCCACAAGCTCCTCATGCCAAGCCATTCCATTGCTAATTTGTCACGTTTATTTGGTTGATTGGTGAAAGAATCCAAGGTGTTTTCTAAGGTTGTCACTACTCCTTTCAAAACTCTCTTGGAGCCTGGTCTTTGAACTCAGAAACAGGGGCAACCTCCTCCGCTCATCCTTTACAGCAGCCCAAGCCCATTCGTCTGGCTGCTGGAAGAAAAAGACCCCAACACTCAGCTTTCCTCACTTTATCACACTCAACTTAACTTTAGCAAACTAACGAAATTCTCATATTTTGAATGACTAGAACTTTTCCGTTTATGATTTCAATTATATGTTGATTTCATATTTTTCACTGTTTTTTTTTTCAATGTTTCTTATATGCATGGGCCCACTTGGAAGAGGATGAGTAGTTACCATAGGAGAAGGAAGAGTTACCGAAGGAGGAGTTACTAGTAGAGAAGTTACCGAAGGAGGAGTTATCAGAGAAGAAGAAGGAGGAGTTACTGAATGAGGAGTTACCAGAGGAGGAGGATGAGTTACCGAAGGAGGATGAGGAGTTGTTAAAAGAGGAGGAAGAGTAGTTACCAGAGGAGGAGAAGTTACGAAAGGAGTAGTTACCAGAGGAGGAGGAGGAGTTACTGGATGAGGAATTACCAAATGAGGAGTTACCAGCGGAGATCACATCGGAGAAGCATAAGAGGTGGTTGTTTTTAGGTTTGCCTCCCTTGAAGATATTCTTGACCAGCACTCTAGCTCTACCCAGGGCAGAGTGCATGATAGTTATAGCTTTACTGCCTCAAAGCCGAAATTGGAAGCAATGGGTTTCCCCAAAATGAACATTGGGAATTCTGCCCTCATGTTTTTTTTTTAAAATCCTTGTCCTTTGCCTGGACTCTACGAGTTCACGGATTTTCTGGACGCTTGCATAGCCGTCTATGCACACTGTGGAATCGGTGCTGCAAATTTTATTAATCTCTACGGTCCCGAGACTGGTCCGATTAAATTTTCTCGCGGTAAATTTTAATTTGACAGTTTTTTTTTTTGTTAGCATAATCTGTGTTAATATGCAGCCTCTAATACAACACTATTTGTGGTTTGCAAGTTGAGTATTTTGATGAACATGAAAATGACTATTCAATTACGAAACCTCTTTTCTAACTTGTTGTTTCCGTTTATGACTATTCAATTATGGAACATCTCTTCAATTATGACTATTCAACTATTTATTGATTTCATCTTTTTCAATGTTTCTGATATGTATGTATTGTCTGTCAAAATATTTTTTATTGGCCCATTGATTTGGAAGTTATCGGCCCAATATCGCACGAAGGGGCCACTTGGGTCCAAAGTTTGGTCCAATAGCATGAAAACGGGCGGCCAAGTAATTTGAAAACATGACCTGTAAAAGTTCTTCAGATTCGTCTCACTAGTTCGACTTATTGACCCATTTCTTGAAAGTGTATTAAGCCTTAGAGATTAGAGAGTCTAAAAAGAGAGAGATGAGCCTAGAAGTTTGCCATATAACATGAAAATGGGCCGATAGCATGCCTGTTTACAATAAGTCAATAGTTGAGTACAGAAGTTGGCCCTATAACATGAAAACGGGCCGATACCATACCCTATAAAAGTTCCTCGGATTCCTCTTTTTGGTCCGACTTGTAGCTTTACTTTTCCAAACATGAAAACGGGCCGATACCATACCCTATAAAAGTTCCTCGGATTCCTTTTTCTGGTCCGACTTGTAGCTTTACTTTTCCATTTCTTTTTTCTCTCTGATCTGATATGTCTCTCTAGAGCTAAGCTCGGTGGAGATCCCAGCGGAGGAGATAGCAGCGGGGGAGATCCCAGAGGAGGAGATATCAAAGGAGGATGAGTAGTTACCATAGGAGGATGAGGAGTAGTTACCAAAGGAGGAGGAGGAGTAACCGAAGGAGGAGTTACCAGATGAGGAGTTACCGAAGGACGAGTTACCAGAGGAGGAGGATGAGTTACCGAATGAGGAGTTGCCGAAGGATGAGTTATCAGAGGTGGATGAGTAGTTACCAGAGGAGGAGAAGGAGGAGGAGTTACCGGATGAGTAGTTGCCTCCCTTGAAGATATTCTTGACCAGCACTTTGCCTCTGCCCGGGGTAGAGTGCATGATGGTTATAGCTTCACTGCCTCAAAGCTGAAATTAGAAGCAATGGTTTTCCCCAAAATGACCATTGGGAATTCTACCCTCATATTTTTTTTAAATTCGAGTCCTTTGCCTAGACTCTGCGAGTTCACAGATTTTTTGGATGCCTGCATAGCCGTCTATGCACACTGTGGAATCGATGTTGCATATTTTGTTAATCTCTACGGTCCCGAGATTGGTCCGATTAAATTTTCTCGCGGTAAATTTTAATTTTACGGTTTTGTTTTGTTAGCATTAGCTGTGTTAATGTGCAGCCTCTAATACAATACTATTTGTGGTTTGTAGGTTGAGTATTTTGAGGAATATGGAAATGACTATTCAATTATGGAACCTCTTTTCTTACTTGTGGTTTCCTTTTATGACTATCCAATAATGGAACATCTCTTCAATTATGACTATTCAACTATTTGTTAATTTCATCTTTTTCAATGTTTCTAGTATGTATGTATTGTCTGTCAAAATATTCTCTGTTTGCCCATTGATTTGGAAGTTATCGGCCCAATATCGCACGAAGGGGCCACTTGGGTCAAGAGTTTGGTCCAATAGCGTGAAAATAGGCCAACAAGTCGGCCAAATAATTTGGAAACATGCCCTGTAAAAGTTCTTCAGATTCCTCTTACTGGTTCAACTTATTGATCCGCAATACTATTTGTGGTTTGTAGGTTGAGTATTTTGAGGAATATGGAAATGACTATTCAATTATGGAACCTCTTTTCTTACTTGTGGTTTCCTTTTATGACTATCCAATAATGGAACATCTCTTCAATTATGACTATTCAACTATTTGTTAATTTCATCTTTTTCAATGTTTCTAGTATGTATGTATTGTCTGTCAAAATATTCTCTGTTTGCCCATTGATTTGGACGAAGGGGCCACTTGGGTCAAGAGTTTGGTCCAATAGCGTGAAAACAGGCCAACAAGTCGGCCAAATAATTTGGAAACATGCCCTGTAAAAGTTCTTCAGATTCCTCTTACTGGTTCAACTTATTAATCCGTTTTTTGAAAGTGTATTAAGCCTTAGGGTTTAGAGAGTCTAAAAAGAGAAAGAGAGAGAGAGAGAGAGAGAGAGAGAGAGAGAGAGAGCGAGTGAGAGAGATGAGCCTAGAAGTTGGCCATATAACATGAAAACAGGCCGATAGCATGCCTATTTGCAACAAGTCAATAGTTGGGCCCAGAAGTTGGCCATGTAACATGAAAACGGGCTGATACCATGCCCTGTAAAAGTTCTTCGGATTCCTCTTTCTGGTCCGACTTGTAGCTTTACTTTTCCTTTTCTTTTTTCTCTCTCATATGATCTGCCTCTCTAAAGGTAAGCTGTGTGGAGATCCCAACGGCGAAGATCCCAGCGTAGGAGATAGGAGTGGCGGAGATCCCAGAGGAAGAGATACCAGAGGAGGATGAGTAGTTACCATAAGAGGAGAAGGAGATACCGGAGGAGGAGTTACCGAATGAGGAGTTACTAGAGGACGAGTTACTAGAGGAGGAGGATGAGTTGTTACCAGAGGAGGAGGAGAAGTTACCGAAGAAGGAGTTGCCAGATGAGGAGTTACTAGAGGAGGAGGAAGAGTTACCGAATGAGGAGTTACCAGAGGAGGTGTTACCGAAGGAGGAGTTACCAGAGGAGGAGGAGGAGTTATTGAAGGAGGAGTTACCGGATGAGGAGTTATCGAAGGAGAAGTTACCAACGGAGATCCCAAAGGAGAAGCATGAGAGGTGGTTCTTTTTAGGTTTGCCTCCGTTGAAGATATTCTTGACCAGCACTTTGCCTCTGCCCGAGGCACCCGAGGCAGAGTGCATGATAGTGATAGCTTCACTGCCTCAAAGTTGAAATTGGAAGCAATGGCTTTCCCCAAAATGACCATTGGGAATTCTGCCCTCATGTTTTTTTAAAAAATATGCGTCATTTGCTTGTACTCTGCGAGTTCACGAATTTTCTGGATGCCTGCATATCCGTCTATGCACATTGTGAAATTAGTGCTGCAGATTTTGTTAATCTCTACGGTCCCGAGATTGGTCCGATTAAATTTTCAAGTGGTAAATTTTAATTTTACGTTTTTGTTTTGTTAGCATAATCTGTGTTAATGTGCAGCCTCTAATACAACACTATTTGTTGTTTGCAGGTTGAGTATTTTGAGGAACATGGAAATGATTATTCAATTATGGAATCTCTTTTCTTACTTGTTGTTTCCGTTTATGACTATTCAATTATGGAACCTCTCTTCAATTATGACTATTCAACTATTTGTTGATTTCATCTTTTTCAATGTTTCCAGTATATATGTATTGTCTGTCAAAATATTCTTTGTTGGTCCATTGATTTAGAAGCTATCGGCCCAATATCGCAAGAAGGGCCCACTTGGGTCCAGAGTTTGTTCTTATAATGTGAAAACGAGCCAACAAGTCGGTGCAGTAATTTGGAAACATGCCCTGTAAAAGTTCTTCAGATTCCTCCTTACTGGTTCGAGTTATTGGCCCGGTTCTTGAAAGTGTATTAAGCCTTAGGGTTTAGAGAGTCACAAAGAGAGAGAGAGAGCGAGCGAGTGAGAGAGATGGCCCAGAAGTTGGTCCTTTAACATGAAAACGGGACGAGAGAGATGGGCCCAGAAGTTTGCCCTATAACATGAAAACGGGCCGATAGCATGAAGTTCTTTGGATTCCTCTTACTGGTCCAACTTGTAGCTTTACTTTTACATTTCTTTTTCTCTCTCATCTGATCTGGCACAAAGAAGTGAGCGTAAATTATAGTATTTGTGCTGATTAGGGTATGAAAAGTGTTTTTGCGAACCACAATAAAAAAATTTGGATTGAAATTTTTTTTTAAATATTTTTTTTTTAAAAAAACCTCACAATGGTTGTCACTGATTTAACTTGAAAAAGTGTATATTAAAATATATTGAAAGTAAAATTTAACTCCTTGCATTTTTTAAGAAATGAAATCATTTATACCATGTTCATCCACTATTAGAACAATTGAGGCAGGAATGCTACATATAAGAGACATTGGAGTTTCTGCTACTGCAGGCAGAGGATGGCCATCCCCAACCAGACTACCGTGTTTGAAAACAATTTTCTGAGTCATTGTTGGATAAATATATATTAAATTAAGAATTTTGTATAAAGATAATTATATCAAAAACTATCTAAAATATAAAGAGAGGAATTTTACATAGGTTCCCAGCATTTGGCATGAAACTCTACACAAACAATTATAGCTTTCAGATAACCTTTCCAGGGAAGCACCATTGTCAATGGACCATGTTGTTCATTTTAGATTTCCATAGTTTCAACAAGGTCAACACCATTGTTCCACTTTTCAGGTCCACCAAGAAGCACAACATCCAAATGCACAAGGTATATTTTGTCCAACTTTACCAATTGCTTATCACTTTCTGCTAGGGACAATGTATATTTTTAATTTTTTAATTTTAAGCATAGTATAGCCGCGCGGTGGTACTTTTTTAAATATTTTATTATATTTTATTTTTAACTGTTTGGCTGGTTAAACTTACTTTTCTCCTTTTTAAAGAGAAAAACAAGCAAGTATAGGAGTCAATTTGCTTGTCTGCCCTCGCTCCTTCTCAAGTTTGGTATTGTGGTTAGTGAATTAATTTGTCTTTGGTTGATTAAAAGAAACTGAACCATGTATGAAATTGGTAGATCTATCATATATCATCTATGTGCATATTGTTTCCTTTGACATTGCATTCTATACTCTTCTTCTTTTTGAGTTAGTAGTTTGTTTGATTTTCTTTCTCTCTTTATTGTTAAATAGGAAAGGTTTCTTAATTGGTTCTCTATTGAATTATTACACCAGGCAGCAGTGCTTTTCAGAAGCCTCAACTCGGTGACCAGCTGATCTGCTCTCTTCATTCACCACAATTAAGACAGTCATGAATAATTTATATGATGGCCTTGCCGAAGTAAATCTACAAGCCAAACAATTACTTATTTTTTGATCTTGCCTGAAACCTTTTCCTAGTGATCTATCTTGTCAATTTTTAGTTAGAATTTTTTTGGACTGGTATGTTATAAACATTTAGTCATTTGTAACTATGGTCACATCACATGTGCATTCTCTTTCATGTGCAAGTTCAGGCATGTTTGTCAATCTCAGTGCTGTCGTCTTTGCGAGGCGTTTTTAGATGCAAACTTAACAAAGAGGTACAAAATTGATCCAAAATATGTATTTTACAGTAACCGTCTGGAGTTAAGGTGAGGACTTTTTGATTAGTGGACATATATTTTCTCTACTGATCTCTTGTCAAGATTTTGCAAATGCTAACCATTGTTTATGGCCTATATTAGAGGGTTAACTGCGCTACATGCATCATCTGAAGAAGTTACTGAATGGCAAACTTGGCCAACGTCATAATAGGGTGGGAGGAGTCCTTTGGTGAGTTTTGAGTGAAATCCGATGGCTAAAACTCGGCAATACACCAACCACTCCATTTACTGAACAAAGTTGGTACGAAGTTGAATTGTCCAATTTCTAAGACTTATTGATTTCGGATCGAGCCCAAAACTTGGCGAACGTCGTAATAGGGTGGGAGGAGTCCTTTGGTGAGTTTTGAGTGAAATCCGATGGCTAAAACTCGGCAATACACCAACCACTCTATTTACTGAACAAAGTTGGTACGAAGTTGAATTGTCCAATTTCTAAGACTTATTGATTTCGGATCGAGCCCAAAACTTGGCGAACGTCGTAATAGGGTGGGAGGAGTCCTTTGGTGAGTTTTGAGTGAAATCCGATGGCTAAAACTCGGCAATACACCAACCACTCTATTTACTGAACAAAGTTGGTACGAAGTTGAATTGTCCAATTTCTAAGACTTATTGATTTCGGATCGAGCCCAAAACTTGGCGAACGTCGTAATAGGGTGGGAGGAGTCCTTTGGTGAGTTTTGAGTGAAATACA